CCATCATCAGCATCACCACCGTTGTCGGCATCGACTTCGTCTCCATCAGCACCAGCATCAGCATCAGCATCAGCATCGTCGTGGTTATCATCATGAGCAGCAACATCATCTCAACATCAGCATCAGCATCATAATCGCCATCATCACCCTGCCCTCTCCCCCTTTTGGAAGGATGGAGGGCCGGTGGTTTCAAACATGGGGCTATCGTCTCAGCGCCGCGCATATTCGTCTTGAAAATTTTAAGCCGTCACATGGATGAAGGGGGGATCCTTCTCGAATCGGGGATCTCGACTGAGCCCTCCTCAATCCTAGAGGCCAGATGCTTGAAGATCTGGCACAGATGCGCGGGATGGCCGTTCGATTTCAACAACGGGCTCTCGCTTGAGACGTCCTCGGAATGAATGACCATACAGTGGGGGCCGATCCGCAAGAAACCTTCCAGAAGAAACCCAACCCTGAGACCCCAGGACGTCCATTGATTATTGGTGGGAACGTCACGCTTTCCATCGCAAGACAATCGAAACCCAAGAAACCCAGGGCACCCTGGAGGCAAACAGGGTGCTTCTTGGCATGGGCCTCCACTGTGCGTGTACATGTGAGCGACGGTTAGACGCTTGTGTGTGTGTGTGGGGGTGGGGGGGGGGGGGGGGGGCAATTCCCTTTCGGCAATAAACAAACCGCCCTTTAGTAACCCAAACGGCCTGGGACCGAAACCCGCGGACCTGGACCCACAAAAATGACGGCCGCGACGCCCTCTCGCGAACCGAAAACGGCCAATTCGCTAATCGACGTGTCAGGGTGGGAGGTCTGCCCACCTCCGACCCCTTTCAGAACGGGGCCATCGCTGGATGCCTCGCCGGACTGGACAAGCCCACCTTTCCTTTTGGCACTCCGCACGCTTCGCCGGAGGAGGAGGAGAAGGGGTGAGGAGCCAGAGGAGGAGGAGGAGGAGGAGGAGGAGGTGGAGGAGGAGGTGGAGGAGGAGGAGGTGGAGGAGGAGGAGTGAGGAGCCAGAGGAGCCACAGGAGGAGGAGGAGGAGGAGGAGGAGGAGGAGGAGGAGGAGGAGTGAGGAGCCAGAGGAGGAGGAGGAGGAGGAGGAGGAGGAGGAGGAGGAGGAGGAGGAGGAGGAGGAGTGAGGAGGAGGAGGAGAGAGAGGAGGGACGCCGGGCGAGCTCCGAGACGGGACCCTCGCCCGAGCGGCGGGCACCAAGCGGGGGGTGCTCGTCGCCTTTCGGAGGGGGGGGCGCTCGCCGCAGGGAAGCGGGGGAGGCCTGCAGGGATGTCTGGGGAGGGGGCCCGGGACGGCAGGATGTGCTGCGGCATCGTCGGTGCGTCCTGGGTTTGCTCTGGCCCCGCTCCTTCTCGTATTCGTCCTCCTCCTCCTCCTCCTCCTCCTCCTCCTCCTCCACCCCGCTTCACTATAGAGAACTCCTCCTTGTCCAACCCCCGAGATGTGTCGTTCGGGCGGATCGGGCTGTTGCCTGAGACCTCCTCGCAATGGATGACCTCGAGCCTTGAAACTTGGGCGCCGCGCGCACTCGCTCAAAAAAACAAAAAAAACACGGCACGCGGACGATGCACAGCTCGCTTCTGACATGGGGCTCTCACCCTGGCGCCGCGCACACCCATCTCGAAAACAATGGACAGCCGCAACGCGCATGGAGCACGAGCTGACGCCTTGGCGCCGCGCACACTCGGTCTTCCAGAAACAACCATGACAGGTGTCGTAAATGGGGCTGTCGCCTGAGCACCGCGCACATGGGCTCTCACAAGAGAGACATCCTCAACACGTCAAGGGGCACTGACTCTGCGATCGTGCAGAACGCTCACACGGATGGAGGGCAGGTCCTTTTCAAGAGGAAGCCGCCGCTGGACTCGGAAAAGGGCCGGTGGAGACCCCGGCGGCCCTCCCGCCCGGCCCCACTCCGCTCAAAACCGAAGCCCGGATCCTCCCGGGGTCCCTCCTGACCTGGCCATCGCTCGGACGTCCATTTCCTGTGTTTTTTGTTCGGTTTCGTGCGTGGCTTTTTCGCGAAATGATCAAGGATGCTCCTCGACGGCCCTCGCCGAAGGAAATATGCGCACGTCCGAGCGATGCCAAGCGGCCAACGCCTCGGCGCGGCTCCAGCCGTGGCGGCGAGAAGCCCCCGAGGGGCGCACGCCGCGCCGCGGGCCGCCGGAGCGTGCCCCCGGGCGCGGGGCGCAGGAGCGCGCGCGCGGCAGCACCCGCCCGTCTGCCGCTCGCGCGGGCCTGGCGAGGGCACCCCTCGAGGCCTCCCAGGCGGGGTCGGAGGACCGCGCCGCATCGCCAGTGCAGCGTCGGTGCAACGGCGATGCATCGGCGACGTCGGCGGTGGATGCATCGGCGGAGTCGGCGTGGAGAGCGTCGGGCTCCCCATCGAGCCACATCGCCGATGCATCGGCGCTGCAGCGCGATCCTCCGACCCCATCAACTCCGACCCCACCTGGGAGGCCAGACCCTTGTACGGCGGGTTTGTGTCGTGAGTCGTGACGGCTCCGGCGTTAGTTTCTGACACCACGTGGATCGCTCGCTCTTGAACAGTCGCGGCTCCCCGGAAGCGCAGGCCCTTCAACGTTGGACGAATTCTGACCGCTGCCGGCGTTCCACCTCGAACGCCCTCGGGGCGATCGTCACCGAGTCCACGCGAAACGAACCTGCTGTACCGCACCCGGTGGCGGCCAAGAGGAGGGCGTCCAAGAGGGGGGGGGCGAAAATCATGGCCGGCGGCATGTGCGCGGCCCAGCGGGGGGGCCAGGAACGTAATGAAATAAGAGGAGGCGCCATGACATCTGAGTAAATATCATGGCCCACGCCATGATATCCACCCCTCCAAGTCATCACCCCGCTCTTTGCGGCCCCGACACACCGCCACTGCGGACGCGACCGCCGCGCTGAGCCGGGACCACCCGCCGCAGGGCCGCGCGAGCGGCGTGCGCTCCGAGCGAAGAGGCGGCGCAGCGCTCCGGTCGTTGCCCGACGCCGCGGGCTCTCGCCCCCAGGCACGAGATGGCCGGGGCGGCGCGCTGGATCAGCCGCCCCAGCTTGAGGAGGCTCGGCGGCGTGCTGCTCCTCGGCGAGGGCCTCGTCGGGCTGGAGGGGGCGGGCTGGGCGGCCGTGCAGGTGGGCCGCCTCGGCAGCCTGCAGGCCACGGCCCTCGGTGCCGTGCCGCTGCCTGCTGTGGCGCCAGACGGCGCCAGGCTGTGCCGCTTGTCGTGCTCCGTCATTCGGCCGCGGGCCCCGTGGAGCTGCACGTCGATCGCGCCGGTGCGCTGGGGTGCTCGCCGCAGGGCTTGGAGGGGGAAGCGAACGCCTCGACGGCAGGGCCCCGCACGAGGGGGCCTCGACGTCCACGGTGGACGACGTGCAAGCGCACAAGACGCTGGCACACTCCACGCTGGCGCACTCCATGCTGGCCGCCCGACCCACTGGGAGCGCCGCGCCGACGGCCACGCGGACGAGCTGCCCAAGCGCGGGGCCAGCCTCCACGCTCTGGGCACAGAGAGCGACGAGCTTCGGAAGGACCTGGGGGCGCTGGCGGAGGGCGGCGCTCGCTGAAGCGCAGCGCTGGAGGCCTCGCTCACCGACCCTGGTTGCCTGGACCACGAGGACGTGCAGCGCGGCAAGCAGGAGTGACCTAGTGACCTCTTGGCCCTAGCGCAAGCGGTGAGGGTGCTCTGGATGCGGCAGAGACCGGCTTCGACGCGGCACCGAGCGCGGGGCCACAGCGACCGCAGATAGACGATGGGGCCGCCGCTCAGTTTTGAGCATAGCTGGCGCGAGCTGCGCCTGCGGGCAACGCGTATCGACAGACACGCTTTGCTCCGCTGTGGCGGAGTGCAGCGGCCAGGCGCAAGCTTCGATTTCTGCCCGCGTTGGAGTAGTCTGGACGGACAAGAAGCCTGGCAGGATCCCGAAGGCGCCTTGCGAGGGGCTGAGAGGCCACGCTGGCAGCGAGCAACTGCGCCCCATCAACCTGGGCAGGGGGCCGCACCACTGGCCAGGCCGCAAGCATGAGACGCTGGAGGGGCCGCAGTGGGCAGCAAGAACACCATGCCGAGGGGGAGGGCCTGCTGGAGAGCGCCCTCGGCGACGTGCCAGCTGCGCGCGCCCGCGTGGCTGCCGCAGCCCCGCGGGGCCGCACCCTGGCGGGGAACCGCATGCAGGGCTCGCGGCGCGGCGGCGCCTCCACGCAACCGGTAGGTCGGGGATGCCCGTCGGGGATGCCCTCTTACAGGCGGATTTGGGAAGGGATGTAAGCAATCGCTCTTATTTAAAAACTCAAAGGAGCACGGAACATCGTCCCCTGATTGTTTTCTTACCCTTCTTGAATGTTCCTCCTGTAGAGGGACATGCCCGACTTAACGCAACCTCCCGTCCTCGCACAGCGGGGCTCGAGGACGTGCGGGCAGCCATGCCGAGGACTCCGAAGTTGGACGAGGCGGACCGCCAGAGGAGGCTGCCCTTATAGTCGTCGTCGGGTGCGAGAGGCTATGCTTGGTCATCGTGCTCTGACAGCTACCCACTTTGAGCCATACCCATACCCATTCCTCCTCTCCTCCTGCTCCTGCTCCTCACTCCTCCCTCTTCTTCCTCCTCCCTCCTCCCTCCTCCTGCTCCTGCTCCTCCTCCTCCTCTTCCTCCTCCTCCTCACATTCCTCGTTCCTCCTCGTTCCTTCTCGCTCCTCCTCTCCCTCTGCCTCCCTCTGCCTCCCTCTTAGAGCGAGAGAAGGATGAACGAGGAGGAGTAGAGTCTACTCCTCCTCGTTCATCCTTCTCTCGCTCCCCCTCGCTCCCCGCTCATCTCCCCTCCTGGGGCCTTCTTGCAGCGCTGCGCGTCCGTGGCCGGCTCGCGCATGGAGGGCGCAAGGCAGTCGTCCTCGCCGTGGGCGCCCCGACCACGTGTGCCACCCACCCCTGCAGGTCAGGTTTCTCTGAGAAACTAGCTGGGGCTCAGAACTCGACGAATTGCCTGCAGAACCCCAGCGGGAGTGTCCGTGGGCGCCGCAAACACTATACGTATGCACTAAATTGCCCAGGTTTTCGCCCCGAGCATGGCGCAGATCTTTTCTTGAACGCCTCACGCTCCTGAGAAAGATCCTGCCCTGAACCCTGCCCCACTGCGTGCACTGAGCGCGGAGACAATTGCGAACATCGCTTCGTGCTCCTGTTCTCGTCCCCCGGGCTGGGCGACAGGGGGGATAGCAAAGGGGGGGTTGAGAATCAGCTCGCGTAGCTGATCTTCCCGGCGCCTCCCGGCGCCGGAGGCGGCTATGTATGGAGGAATGGGCCCCTCGGCGAGGCCGAAACCAGCTGCACGCAGCAAATCCCACCAGCCCTCTGGGCGCCCGTGGTTTAGAGCGTTTCCTCTTCCACCCCTCCTTCTTCCCCTTCGGGCAGGGGTTTACCCCTCCCCCTACCCCCTCCCCATGGACGTGGACGGGGGGTGTCGCAAGTCCTCGGAGCGTCCGAAACGGCTTCGACGATGAAGCCAAAATCACTGGTTTTACTATGGTTTGGGCCTCATTTTGGCCTCTTGGTTGGGGGAGGGAGGGGGGGGGAGGGGGAGGGGGGGGGGAAGGGGGGGGGGGCAAAATTAGTAACCTCCCCTCCCGTGATCGATCTCACCCAAGATGGCCCAAAGATGGCCCCCAAGGCTCCCAAGGGTGCCCAAGAGGGCCAAAAGAGGTGGCCAGGAAGCCCCAAGGGGCCCCCAGGATGCCCCCACGAGGCTCCCAAGAGACCCCCATGAAGCCCCAAGAGACCCCCCAGAGGCGCCCAAGATGATCCAAGAGGCCTCGACGAGAATGCCAAATCATTGATGTTACGAAGGTTTTAGCCACAGATTGGCCTCTTGGGGGGGGCACTGATTAAAATGACTCCAAGAGCGCCTGGGGGAGCTCAAGATGACCTCCAAGATGGCTCAAGATATCCCAAGATGTCTCAGAATGGTTTCCTCTGCGTGCTGCCCACTTCCCTGATCGAGGCACTTCCTCTGGACATCGTTTCTGGATGGGCTGGTGGGGATTCTTTTTTTCGGTCGCGGCCACCAGCGAAGAGCGCAGGCGGCGAACAGGGAGTCCGGGCCGACGTGTCAATCTGATTAGCTGATGGGCGCAGCACGAGCCGGCCGGGCCAGCTCCTGGCGGGGATTCTCTTTTTTTACGGCCGCAGGCGAACGCGCCAGCGGCGGGCGAAGTAGGTCGGGCCGCGACAGGCTTAAATTACCGACGGCTAACGCGCGCGACTAGGCGGCCGCGGCGGCGCCGGATGCAGCAAGCAGCAACTGCGGCGAGGGTGAGGCTGATCCCACGGAAAGCTGAACCCAGGGCAGAGCTGCAAGGTAACCCAGGGAAACCCAGGGAGCACCAAATTTGCCAAACCTGACACGCGCTGCCAAAATGGCGCGAAATCTGAAGAGGCGCCAGCCGAAGCGTCGCACACCGACAGATCAAGTAATGACCGCTCAAAGGTAGGTAAACCTGCGTCCCAGGAGCAATTATGTGCACCGTGGTCCACGCATAGCATAGCATGACCTGTGAATACATAGCAATGCAGCCGAGCAGGATGGACCACACCCAATGCCAAAAATGTACCCAGGGTGCTCGTGCGCAGCCAATGGCGAGTGACACCAGGACAATGAAGGCGGCGCCAGCGGATGCGACGCACGACCAACAGTCATCCGAAGTGCGCCACCTGTGACACCTGTGGACCTGTTGGCAACGCCAGGAGCCAAGTAGGATAGACACACCCGACCCTGTCGCGACCGCACAGAACCCAAGCTGCATAAGGCTGCCCGCTGGAAGGCCGGGTCACGGCCACACCCAGGAGAAGCCAGAGTGAATTAGGGTGACACAAGGGCGGGCGCGCCCGCGGCTTTAGGTGACGACCTTCCACTGTTTCTGGTCCTTCCTGGGTGCGCGGCGATCAGCGTGGCCCTTCGCCGCCTGGCGCCCCCTGCCCGCGCCGCCACTTCCACCCAGGTACCGAAGCCGCAACTGCGCCCAGTCAACGCCGAGGTCCAGCGCGTCGCCCATGGCCCGCACGTCGCAGTTATGGCTGCGGAAGGAGGACAGGAAATTGACGCACGTTTGCTGGTCGTGCCGCCGCGGGTCGAGCGCGCCTTTGCTGCCGGGCGTGGCGCGCCGCTGGGCAAACGCGTGCCGGGCGCCTGTGAACCTCGCTCCCAGGGTGACCTGAAGCCGCTTTATCGTCTCGCCAGGTGTCTCCCGATGGGCCCCACTGGATGCCGCCGATCTTAGCTTCATATAGCTGCTGCCCCGTGTCTGGGTCTAAAGGTTCTGGACAGTGACGCGCGGCGGGGCCCGCTACCAGGGGAGGGGTGTTCAGCGGCTGGTCCTCGGCGCGGCGCCTGCTGCTGCTTCTGCGGCCGCTGCTGCTGCTGCGTCCGCCGCCTGCCGTCTGCCGCCCACCAGACCCGCCAGCGCGGTCGGCGTCGCCACGGGCCAGGTTTCGGCCCAGGGGCGGCGGGGAGACTGGAAGGTCGCCAGTCACAGAGGCTAGGCCGGGCGTCCACCTGCTGCCACGAAGACGCGCCGGGGGAACGTCCCGGCCGCGCTGCCGCTGTTCCTCGGCGCTCGAGCTCGCGCCATTGCCAAGGAGGGAGGGGCCAGGGCAAGTAGTGTCAGCCAGGGGAGTGTGGCGGTGGGTGGTTGCCTGTTCCTGTTCTTGCCCATGCCCCCATTCCTGCGCTGGCGCCACTTCCGCGCCCTCCCCGTGGGCGGCCGGCAGCTCCTGCTCATCGGGCTCTTCCGGCTCCTGCTCCGCATGCTGCTCACGCTCGCTGCTCTGCGACTGTTCCGACCGGTTGGGCCCGCCGCCGGAATCGTCTATGGCTTCGCGAGGCGCGGCGGCCACTGGGGCACGGAAGCCTGGCGGGGACTTGCGGGTTGGCGCGGGCCGCGCGGTTGGCCGCCAGGTAATGGCCGAGTCGCCTCCAGCAGCTGGGGCGGAGAGGAACGCTGCACTGCGGTAAGCGGGGGCAGGCCCCCCCCGCTGGCGCTCGCCTTCAGGCCCGCGCCCGCCCTCGTCCACGAGCGCGCCCCCATCTGTCGCAGCGTGACTTTCGCCACGTGCGGGAGCGCTGCGGGTCGCACCTGGCCCGGGCACGTTGTCAGACACCGCTTCTTTCGCCAGGGCGGGAGCCGCCTTCCTCAGCGTGGCCCGGCCTTCGAGAGGGAGTGGCTGCGGTTCGCTGTCCGTTCGGGCGGATTCGCTGACAGGGGAGCGAGGGCGAATGGGCGCGAAGGGACTTCTGTCGACAAGCTGGCGGATGGCCTCGATGTCCTGCCTCTGCAAGGCATGTTCGCGGTTCCCCAGCGAGGGGTCTTCGAAGGTACCAGGGGCGGCGGCGGGCGGAGTCGCAGCGGGGCATTGTTGGGTCTCGCCGCCAACCAGATGCATCGACAGCCCCAGGCTTTGCAAGCAATGGGCTCCGCATCGGCCGTCGGCCACGGGGATGGCCTCGGAGGCGTTGGCTGGAGGGTCTGCGCCGATCGCAAACACGCGCCCGTCTGTGGCCCGCACGCACCTCCAGGAGTCAAGCGAAACCTCCAATCGTGAGCGCCCAGGGCCGCTGTCAGTCACACTTTCGCGCACCCCCACGACGCGAGAACTGTAACAACTGACGGCCGCGTTTGGATTTACAACCTCCTGGCTGTCTGTTGCGCGCGGAATGTTTCCGATTTCCGCAGTGCCGCCCGCAGCATTTCGAACTGCCGTCGCGATGCTGTCGCCAGGAGAGTGCGCCATTTCGGGCGCATATTCGGCGTCCGCCAAGACTCTGCTCCCAGGGCGCCGGTAGGAGTGAGGGGGCGCAATTTCGGCCGCATCTTCCGCCTCAACAACGAGACCGCCCCCGGGACGCTGATAGGAGTGAGGGGCTGTAGGAACGCCTGCGCGGTTGTCTCCTGGAGGGGAAGGCACCGGCGCGCTGTGGCTGACGACCGCCCGTTCGGTCTGTAGCACCCCCAGGGGACTACTGCAGCTGAAGGCCGCACGTTCCAGCGTGAACTCCTGACTCTCTATGCTGCGAAGAGGCTCGAGATATCCTCCACCACCCGCTTGGGGAAGCGTCGCGGACCTCCTCTCGGGAGGAGGCTGGTCTCCGAGCGCAGGCGCGCCCTCTGCGGCGTTCCCGACTGTCGCCGCGATACTGCTGCCAGGGGGGCACGCAATTTCGGCCGCATCTTCCGCCTCAACAACGAGACCGCCCCCGGGACGCTGATAGGAGTGAGGGGTTGTAGAAACGCCTGCTTGGTTGTCTCCTGGACGGGAAGGCACCAGCGCGCCGTGGCTGACGACCCCCTGTTCGGTCTGTAGCTCTCCCACGGGACTACTGCAGCTGAAGGCCGCGCGTTCCAGCGTGGACTCCTGACTCTCTACGCTGCGAGGAAGCTCGAGATATCCTCATCATCCGCTCGAGGAGGCGTCGTGGACCTCCATTCGGGAGGAGGCCGGTCTCCGAGCGCACGCGCGCCCTCTGCGGCATTCCCGACTGTCGCCACGATACTGTTGCCAGGGGGGGGCGCAATTTCGGCCACATCTTCCGCCTCAACAACGAGACCGCCCCCGGGACCCTGATAGGATTGAGGGGCTGTAGGAACGCCTGCTTGGTTGTCTCCTGGACGGGAAGGCACCGGCGCGCTGTGGCTGACGACCGCCTGTTCGGTTTGTAGCTCCCCCAGGGGACTACTGCAGCTGAAGGCCGCACGTTCCAGTGTGAACTCGTGACTCTCTATGCTGCGAGGAGGCTCGAGATATCCTCCATCATCCGCTCGGGGAGGCGTCGTGAACCACCTTTCGGGAGCAGGCCGGTCTCCGAGCGCACGCGCGCCCTCTGCGGCATTCCCGACTGTC